ATGGGGATAGGACAGCTCCTTGAAGGATCCCGGAGTTGTTGACTAAGGGTTTCGATATGGCCTTTCCCAATCTAGTGGTTTGTACTCTATCAGTAAAATAGTTGGATAGCCAAGCTAACAACTGCGTGGGGCATTCAAACGATTCCAGTTTTTGTAACAACTTAGATCTAGGAATGGAATCAAATGCAGAGGAGTAGTCTAGAAAAACACATCGAACAGACTTAACAGAACTGTAGAACGACTTAGTGATGAAATGAATGAGGGTGCAGACTGCGTCCAAGGTGGATCTATTTGGCTTGTAGGCAAACTGTAACGGACCACTGATTTCAGCTTCATCACTTTTAACTTTCATCCAGCCACTACCTACCTTTTCGGTAAGCATCACACGCAGAGAGAATTCGTTTATTGACATGCGTAACACATGCCTAGACAAACGCGATTTGCCTAGGTCGAACACTTGCTCCAGTGCACAACCTCGGTTACCTATCTTCGTCATTACTTGTCCGGTCGCCCCACCAGACTCGTGCAATGCGGTGTAGATAGTAGCGGTTTTAATAGTAGTAATAGTTTATTTAGCTCTGTATTGCATTAGTTTTACATCGGAACATCACTTACTAACAACAATACCCACTATTGGTCTAACTCTTCAACTGAACTATCTCCGTGAGAGCACTTCTGTCTCTTTGTCTCAAGTGGCTGCATTTAAATCGGAAGAAATAGAGTCTTTCAATTTTGAGCACAATAGCCCCACGACGAGACTGCACCTTGACGTGGTGTGATGGCTTACGTGCCTCCATGGGTACAGGCCATACGAAGATCAGTCTCACAAGGCCAGCTGCTCGGGCACCTGGTTTCCATCCTCTATCTAAACCCGCCCCTGGAGAGGTCACTCCAGCAAACAAACACGGTGAGGGGCAGTTTACCGGTCAGAAAACCCCCGTTAGATGGACGTAGGAGCGGGTTAACTAGGGGTTCCTCTGGACGGTGGTAGAAGTCTTCGCACTTCCCTGGACAGCTACCGCTCGCCCAAGCTGGGCAACCCCCAGCCCATAAAATGCTGTCCCGTCCACGTTCCGCCTGTTTCATTGGGTGCATGAGACTGAGGGTCAATCCTGAAAAGTGGACCTAAAATCAACGCACCAGTGAACAATACAATCAATGAAGTATATGCTGCAGCAATTCGGCCAGTTCTGCTATATGGAGCAGAAACTTGGCCCTTAAGACAACAGGATAAAGATAGACTGTCGGTGTTCGAACACCGCTGTCTACGTAGCATTGCACGAGTTTGGTGAGGCAATCAGACGAACAATGCTGCGGTCCGGTGAGAAGGTTTAGACAACCGCGGTCGCCCACTGGAGCAAGTGGTCGACCTCCATAGATTACGTTGGTTGGGGTATGTTTTACGCATATCCCTCAACAGGTTGCCTAGGCAGGTAGTGGGTGGAAGAAAGCGAAGGGTGACCAAGCTAAGACCTGGCATAAGTGAATGAAAACCCTAACCAGGAATCTGGGTCACATAGGTCTCGTTAGGCTCCATGGCTGGGGACCCCGGGATGGTCGTAACCGATGGTTACAGACACTGAGTGGTATGGCTGAATGTCGTAAACAGTGGTGTTTGTGCATCTTCTCAATTTCTGTGCTTCATTAGTTCACTGAACTTTTTAATTTTGTCTTCGTTCCTACTTTTACTCTTCCTGTTTTCTTCCTATTGTTCACTCAAATGGGCAGCCAACAGCCAGCAACCAAAAGCGTCACACGGAAATGCATGCCTAATGGTTGTTTAAACTGAACTGAACTGAACTCTGCTTCTTTCGAACTGATTTCACTGATAGACGATTTTTTTCAGTTGATGTTGTGCCAAACAGTTCGAGGTATGTTTTGCTGAAGTGTAGTAGTAATAATAATAATAATTGATTTGCTAAATGTGCCCCAGCTGTACATTTAGCTTAGTTGAATGAGTTAAATGCGCTTGTTATATATCACAGAGACATAAGAATTTAAAATCCAAGAGGCAGTTCTTTTTAAATTAGATGATCACATTGATAATAATGAATCATTTACATGCAGTTCCTTATGAGTGGGGTGGTAAGGGGTAAGTGTTTATTATTGTCGCACTAGCTGACCTTTCTTCCGGACCACTTAACACTGTCTGGTCTAGGTAAGCCATTGAACGTAATTGTAGACATCTGAACCATCAGGTATCGGTCGTGTTTTTTAACCCTGATGTGATCTGGTTGGCACAGAAATGACACACGACATCCATGCGATGGGTTCGGAGTTCGAATCTCCTGATGGACGGTGGATATGCGCTACTGATGAGAGCGAAACTCGAGGCTGTCTGATTTCTAAATGCGAGGTTGACGGAATAAACTGTGGATTGCCCATGAAGATAATATGTGTTAAAACCTGGGCATCTGGAATAAGCAGTTACTTGTCTAGGAGTTACATCGCAACCAATGTAACACATCCGAGTTCGACCATATTATTCTTTGTGTTACGGGGATTACTTCGAAATAGTCTTCACTAAATGGATCGTTTATGGTACGGAGTTATTCTCCAGAGGACAAGGCGGGACAGTGGTCGTGGCTTAATGGTTTAGTCACTCACAATGGCGTTCTTTGGACCCTATAGTCCGAGTTTCGAGCCTCGCCATCGCCATCCAAATTTGATGGTAAGCAGCTTTGCTGTCGTTCGGTTCCATACCACGCCTAACCTAATGGGGCCTTATGTGGTTCGCCACAACAAGTCTCGGGGCTTCGGTTGCTGGTTTCCATCACTGAACAGTAGGTCCTCTTGACTATGAGGATTTTCGCGTCTGCTGTTCATCACATATCATGGATTTCCGACTAAGTGCACCATCATTGTTAACATAGCTTCAGAATATCGGTTGTAACTAAGACAATACGATTAGATCATTGTGAATGTCATGCTGGTGAGTAGCTTCAAGTTTTCTTAATCAATGCAGAATACTCTTGTCCATAGACCACAACTAATGACTATCCGCCGTAGGCAGACCAATGGTGTCGTGTTCGTGCCCCCCGCCCGACACACACACGCACACCCAATCCAGTCTTTGTGAATAAACGCTCGCACACATCGTTGTACAATCATCACCTCCTTTGGGGCCGTCCTACACGGTGCATCTCTTTTTTGTTTATATTGAACTGTTTAGAGTGATCCGCTGTCCAACAATCGCAACGGAAGACATCCAACAGTTGGTATTATTCTAACAATTTTTCGGTTCCACTCGTTTTTTGTATAATTAGCTTTTTATCCAGTAAAATGTTCCGATGCGCAACAGAAAATGCCTGAACTTGAGTGCTGAGAAATACCGTAAAATTGTTGATGAAACTTCGCCGATTGAAACAAAGCAAATATTGTATAGGTGTTTTACGATCAGCTTTTACTCCCCATCCCAGAGTGTAGTTAGGTTTGGAATAGTTCTATCTAAAGCATGCCACATGGCGTCTAATGCTAAGATGAGCAAACGTCGTTCCTCTTAGTGACGGTTTGCACGCTTTATTGTGCCCGAGTAAAATGAACAGTCTAATCAGTTGCTCATTGGTCGCTTGAGTGCTGTGGTTGCTTCCAAAGGACAAATTTCGCGGGCTTTGTCTCTTTTATGTAAAAGTTGAGTGTGAAATAATATCTAAGGGATTTCGTGATGGACTGACAGTTGGGAAGGATATGAGCAAACAGGGGCAGCGGTTGACTTTTGGTAGCAAGTGTGCCACAAATTTTCCAAAAAGGTATTCGTGCAATCCAAGGAGTTTTCCGTCATACATAATGTGAATTACAGTAAGAGGGAAAATCCCTTTAGACATAGCCTACTATAATAGGGAGAGTAGTGGGACATTCACGTAAGATCCAGTGTATTGATTCTGCGTTTAAACAGCTCAAGGTTGTAAGTTGGGGGAAAGACAGAAAGTGGAAGTTTTCCACAATTTGGCAGTCCGGGTAAAAAAGAAGATTGGAACAGAGAAATACGATATCTGGTGACCGCAATCCGATAAGGATTGCTAGATGTATGTCCCTGGGATGGGTCGGCAAAGGTTACAGGAAGAGGCATTGCGAAGGCGAGCTCCTAAGAACAAAAATCAAAGTAGTCACAGTAGAGCAGGAACAATAAAGCAACTGCCCGACGATGGGTTAGTGACTGCAGATTGGATTATCGATGCTCGATTGGTGTTATATATATATATATATATATATATATATATAACATCTATCTTTGAGGAAGGATCATCGATCAGCCGGATGTCCTTTCGTTAAAAACGAAGTCCCCCCCCGTGCCCACAGTATTCAAGTGTAGGATGGATTTAAGCTCTACAGTAGAGGAAGATGAGCTGCGGTGATAAAACTTCTGGCGCGAACTAAAAGACCAACCTTGCGCGCAGTACAAGAAGCAAGTTGAGGTAGAAAAGGTAACCAGCATAAAGAGGAAGTTATAGGCAATCCAAGAAGGAAAACAGTTTGTGGAATGCAGCTGGGTGGAATAAAAGAAATGGTGTTTAAAATAAATTGAAAGAAGAGAGTAATTTTCAAGTTGCTTTGTTGGGTCGGACAATCGAACGACTGAACGAGCTTTTGAGATATGTACCCATCACAGTTACTGGTATCAATCACGAAGATAACTGTAGTAAGCTACGCCAACAGTCCAGTCGTCTACCAGTGATTTATTTGAAATAATAATGTGACCTGAGAGATTGGTTTACTGAAGCAAAGTGTGGCTTTCACTTTCATTAGTCGGCTTCCGAATCTAGCTCGTCAGCAGCTCGTCAGGTTAAGATTGACACGCTTCTTTGGGGTCGTTCCCTTTATGCCTGTGCCTTACTGTTTTCTTCTGAGGTTTCGTTCTCCCATAAAAATTGAACTGGTTTCATTTTTATGATTGAGGTGTTGTCGCGAATCACATGGTGCGTTTCAATGTGTACTGTACCACTCAGGTGTACTGTAAATGTTTCACATTAAAGAAATTGTTTGTGCACTTTATTTTTTTCAGGGATGATCGTTTTCATAAAATGCTCGCTCAGCGCGGTTCTACCCCACTGGATCTGTTCAAATTCTATGTGGAAGCATTGAAAGCTCGTTATCCGGCGGAGAAGAAACTGATCAAAGAGATCCTCAAAGACAGTGCTTTTAATGTCGATCTTTCCACTTCATTCGAAGACTTTTCCACGGTGAGTTTGAGTTTTCTCAGATTTACTATGGGTTTTCAACAATTATCGCTACGGTACTAGTTGAATTTGGTAAGCTACATGATTGGGGTTGCAAACCAATTTGTGCAAATTTTGTTCTAACATTTTGTATTTTCCGGCATCTTTAGGCCTGTAACTGCTATACAAATTTCCGCTTCCAATCTCGTACGTGCATCGTGGAGATCAAAATGGGCTAGCTTTACCATTTGCAGTAGTTTAAATGATTTGTTCGCTATCGGAAAAGGGGATTCGATCCAGACATTTTGTTTTCTTTGGATATCGTCTCACTGTTCACCAATGTACCCCAGTTGGAGACAGTGAAATTCATCTGTGATTAAATAGAAACGCTGAATGTAAACGCTGGTATTCCGGTCACAAATCTAAATGAACTGTTATTACGCTGCACCCGTAACGTCCAGTTTCTGTTTAACGGTACTATCTATCGTCAGATGGATGGGGTTGCCATGAGATCTCCACTCTGTCCGTTGCTAGCTGATATCTTCGTGGCTAAACTAGAAAGGAGCGCGCTGAGCCGAACTATTGAAGGATTAGCACACTATAGTAGATATATGGATGATATCTTCTGTGTGACTGATCGCAATAATTGCATCCCACAAAACATTGAAATCGTTTAACGACGCACATCCATCTGTGGAATTCACTGTAGAGGTCGAAACGAACAACATAGTGGCTTTTCTGGATGTAGCCGTGTCCAGGGAAGAAGATGGATCAATGAGAAAACAGATCCACAGGAAGAAAACATGGAATGTTCCGATTGCTTTGGCCAGGTGTGAAAACCAGGCCAGAACGTGACGTGTCACCTGATCCAAGTGGGGAAAGTTTACATCAACACACACACACTTCCATTACTCTCTGTCTCCGATAAACGACCTTGAGCCAATTGAGCCAATGGCTATTATTATGTAAGAATTCTTTCCACTATATGATATTTAAGAACATGATTATGAATATGAGAAAACAATTGTTCGCTCACTTACTCGTTTTCTCAAGACATTTTCCCCCGAAATGCTGCCTCCCTGTTCCAACCACTTTGAAACTTTTCCATTTGTTTTCTCTTTCTGTCAGGTGATTGGTCGTGATGACCGAAGTAAAGGTGTGGACGATGGCAACCTGCGCATGACATTTGACAGTCTTTTGGAGAAAGCGAAAGGTCGTGAGCGAGAGCGCCAACGGGATGATGCACGACGTCTGCGCAAATTGGAACAGAACTTTTGTGATATGTTGTCCTCAGCTAGTTTCATTCGACCGGATACCTCGTGGGACGAGGTCCGGGAACGGTTTAATGACCATCCGGCGTTCCGCGTAAGTGTACCACTCATCTTAACTTCAGTCAGTTCCATTAGGTCGTATTCGTCACTGGAATTTTAGTGGTTGACTTTTAACACGCTCTTACTCATGCCCATCTGTCGGGTATGTGAAATCATGAGTAGTGGCTAGAATAGATTTCACATTACAGTTTTTCTCTAAGCAATTCTGTCATATTATGCCATGAGCACACTGGTCCCCCCGGGGTTTCTATGCATTTTTTCTCCCGATTGCACACACCTATTCGAGTAGGAGTTTGTGTGATTCGACACATCCAATCATACGACTGATGTCATTTCTGAAGCGAAAACAAATTGCATGTGATGGCGGACGGTTCTGTATCCTTTCATGCACACAACTGTTGCACGTTCGGGGCATCGTACTATTTCTACGGTTTTGTTCACTGTAGAAGAGCGTTTTTCGGTTTAATGCAAATGTGCAGAGGATAACAGATCTAAGTCGCATGATTCATACCAAGCAGCATTTCGATGCATCTCTTTTTTAAAATTTTACTTACTTTTATCGAATACACAATGATACAGTTTTCAGGAAGGGGAAAGTTGCCTATCAAAGGGTTGCCATGGGGAAAGTCAGGCGATAGTGGTGGGGTTCGAACACGTTCCCCGAGGTGGTAATTTGGTACAGAGAATATGACAGAAAACAACAGTCTATATTGTGGGACAGTACCTCGGTGATGTCCGTGCCGAATGACCTCAGTTTCAAAGCTGTCGTTTAACATCACTATTTGGTCCTATCGTGGTCGCCTGTAGCTGGTGCACGGTTAAAGGATATGGATTGTTATCTTTCCGCGTAGGGTGGAGGAGATGCAACGAAAATTTCCTTGACAGAAATCGGGCAACCTCGTTCTGTTGTCCTCTTCGAGTTTATCTGGGGGAATAGGTGTTTCAGTTTTCTCCCCACTCAACTCGATTGTGGTGCAGGAGACTAGTTGAATAAACCAATTTGAGCGCACAGTGTAGCCCGATAGAGGATGGCTGTGTTTTCCACTCATTGGAAGGTTCTCATATCTTTTCTCTCGGATCACGAGTGCATTAATCCCAGTGATGCAAATCGCCCATCTCGGTGAGTTATGCTGTTCGCTGTGAACCGAACACCATCTCAAGTGCACCAACAGGAAACGATGAACACAAAGCTGCAGAACAGGTGGAGAGATTCAACTGAACAGCTCTGTTGTCAGTCCAATTCTGCAATGAATGCTCTGTCTGAAAATGATGACAGGATAATGAGCGACCGGGGTTAGGGTAGTATGCTACCGGACAAAGAACCGCTTCCAATTAGGCAAACAATACGTAGACGATGGGAAAGGGATTTCACTTTTTGTTAGAGTACCAGACAACGCCATCGAGTACCCCTCCACAGTTGCTCTCCAGACTGTACATTTCAACTTCCAGTTCAGCAGGCAAACCATTACTTCATACGGATGGGCCAGTTTTCGGTCAAGAAGCAAAACCGTAATCCCAAAGGACCTAAAGGGTGGTGGTGGCGCAGTGATTTAGTCACTGTCACCGGCGTGCTTTGGACCC